TGGGGAAAAGGGTAGCTTTGAATTACCCAATTCAATTCAGTCACATGTAATTCTAAGGTATGCAATCTAGAAACAGATAAAAACAGATATACATATAGATAAATGGGCAAAAAGGGTGATGATACTTACTGTCAAGAAGTTGGTCTAAATCATCAGAGTGGTCAGTCGCCATGGATTCCTTTAGATTCTCTAGCAGGATAAAGATTGTCTATGTTCTTGTTTTTAGTCTATTCACCAAAAATATCAATAAAAATCCAATCTTTATGAATCTTTTGAAGAGAAAGATGCAAAAGGGATAGGAAACACACACTAGGCTGGGCTCAAAGGGACTGTACGGTGTCGTTTTGGGCTTAACCGCCGACTTTGGGTTTTAGTTTCCCTAGGCTGATTAATTGGTAAATACTCCTGATATTCATTTTTATTATTCTAAATAAGGACGCCCAAGGGCATTTCGGTCAATGTCACTTTGGTTGTCTGGGGTATTTTAGGTATTTCACAGCTATTGAAAAGTGTGCTGCATCTGCAATACTACTTTGCCGACTCTCTTGTTCTTCCAATGCTCAAGCTCTCTGGTCTCTCCTCATATTCCATCTTCATCTCCAGTTATAATCAGGTATCCCTTTTTTCATATATTCTTTCGCGATAATTATTTTCTCCTATTAATTTCTCTTATTGCACTTGTTTGTGAGTAAATTTTTCATGGATTCTTACCTGAGTATGTTTATGTGACCTTCACATATATATCTATAAATTGATACTCCAACTATTGAGTTGGATGATTATTGTTTGGCGACTCTTCTGATTAACTTTCTCATGTATTTTGCTTTAGAAAATCGCTGATGGAAATACCCTAATGGTGTTTTCTTAGTATTATCTTTTGGTACAAACTAATTACAGAATTAGTCCTGTCTGAGGCAAAAGTTCTTCGCCTAACTGTTGGTATGTATCAACTTCTGATATTTGCTGATTCCTCAACTGGAAGTTTTTCCCAGGAAGAAATATCATTTTGCTTGAGATAATTCTCCGGACCCCACTTGTGGAATTACACTTGATACGTTGTTGTTAGTTGAGGTAATCCTTGATTCTTTTTATAGGAAACTCATTTATTAGCTCTATTATATCTTAATCACAAACTTCGTTTTCAAGGGATTGTGTAACTTTGGTTATATTTAGCGGGGAAATCCTTCACTACTTTTCCAGTGTCGATGTTCCTCCATTAGATCCATGTCAAGGATATCTGGCTTGAATCCGACCCCATTTCCCGTTATCTGATGAGGACATGATTTTCCACCATTCAATATATAACTTTCAGTTGGCTCGAGTCCATATAAGCACAATGTTAACTATTTTTGACATAGGATTGTTCTCAATTTCTTGACATGGGATTATCTTGGACGTTTACTGATTCTGTCTCGAGGAATCAAGAGTACTACACTAGAGTATATATTTAACTTGACATTAGGATTTTTGGATTTAAGATATTGTCCAACACCAGTATTCCCATGAAAAATATGTCAATATTACCTAGAGTTTCTTCCCATATTTCGGGGCCTGTTGTGTCAAAATGATCCTGCTTTCGATATGAGACAATTGAGAATTCTGTAGTAAAACAGAGAATACATTAATTACCTTAAGTTTCATAAAATTACCTGAGTGCTTGCAGGGTTGTAAAATTGTTGAAGCATGAAAATATTAGGTGTAGATTCCAAAAGTTCATAAGCCTTCTTAAGAGTGCCTCTCATTCCTTAGGTTGGATCGATGAGGATTAAATCGACTCTAAATGCTCTCATTTTCCCTCTCCTCTATATGCTCGTGTACGAAGGCATTTTCAAAACCATTTTGTTGCCTTTCATTGCTGCCATAAATGCTATACTGATCCCCATATTTCCTGATGTTTGCTCAATCAACGTCCTCTAATTATAAATAATAATCAACAAGCATGTCAGAGATCAAAATAACTGTGTGCTCAATCTGTTGCCATTGTTTTGTTTTAATTTCCAGATGTATTAGATTTTAAGACCAAGTTAATCAATTTTCAAGCTACACACAATTAATTACCTGTGAAAATTTCTCTTTCGTTTCAGACTGGTGCAATACCTTTTACTTTTTTGTTTTCTATCATGTTATGAGGATTATACATTTTTATTCATGTATGAATAGAGGCTTTAGACTAACTGCGTATATAAGTTTATTCTGCATATTTTTTCCATTTACTCATAAGTAGATAACTTTCTTTTGCTTTAGCTGTTTAGTTTACTTTATTGGCCAATTTTTTTTTGAAACTTGGTAACTTTGTATTATAACACAATAGTACATGGGCAGTACTAAACCTTATATACAGATGAACTCCAAAAACTCCACTATTCTAAATCTAAATTGAATCTAAAACATCAATTATAGAGACAGTTTCATTAGAGTATACTTGATTGCACCAAAAACATAACAACAAAATGCAGCTGAGTTTAACTTTCTGCATACTATTCTCTACGCTCTCAAAACACCTAGAATTTCTCTCTTTCCAGGTTGCCCACCAGATTGAAGCAGGGATAATTCTCCATCTCGTTCTGTCTTTAGCTAGCACTCCTGCCTCCTCCCAACTTTTTAGGGCTTCAGTAATTCTCCTAGGCATAGCCCAGGATATGCCTTTGAGACT